AAGCGGCGTCCAATTCCTCGCGCCCAGCTTCACAATTCTTTTTAAAAATAGCAGACAGGTGAAAGACCAACCGTTAATTGGCTCACTATAATGTAGGATCCTCACAGTTCGAGCTTCGTGCATACCTATCAGCTATCGTGGTCGGCTGACATTTTCAGCTGAATACCCAGAAATAGCTTTTTCGGCACTAATATGATCAATGTTTCCACGAATCAATGCAACACTTCAACAACGCCATGCAGACAGCCACCTATAGCTAGACTTGCAACTGGAATCATGACAAAAAGTGTTAAGTAGTGGGGTAAGATGCAGGTAGCCTCGCGGTAGGCTGAGAAAACTAAAAACGAGAGCAGCTTCGTCCTGCGTCCGCCTCACTGTGAACAAATTGTGCTTTAAAGCTCTCCTACCAACGTGCGGAATTCGGGTCATCAAATCAACAATCTGAATACATTGAACACGCAGATGAATTTCCTAGGAGCTGAGAAAACACCTCGTTATGCCATGCGACAAAACAGCGTACCAATGTAGGTTATTACCGGCGGTCCCTACGCAACTCTTAAGTACTAAAGCTTCCAGGTCTTCAGGTTCTTCGAACAGTTTTGTTTTACACATGAATGGTTTCCCACCACAATTCGATCAAACACGACCACAAGAGTCAATTCTCTCCCCGTTAGCAACATTTTTCGCTACATCGGTAATTCTGATCACCTCCTCCATGGTTAGCACTTTCTGGGAAAATGCGCCGCTGCCGTTCTGCTCGAAATTCTGGATTTTACTCGGCACGACCGATCACTGCTACTGGAGACCACGAGTCATCGCGCTATTGGTAGCATGTACAGCCTATGCTGTGGCCGCAACACTGTGTTATCACTGGTACAGAGCCTGGAAATACAGAGCGTTGACAATTATAGTCATCCTTGTAATTGGCATTGGTGTGTCTGTAGTACTGGAAGCGGATGTGGAGCATTTCATACGAGACACTTTGCCTTGGAGCCTATGTACGGGCTCAATAGCCAACATGTTATTTGGTTATTGCGCGAAGCGCTACAGTAATAGGGTGATTTGTACAAGCCTCGTATAGTTTTCTTTACAAGATCTCAGCTCAATAGTAGTTAGATCATGATTGTCAGGTATAGAAATACGATGATAGCTATAGTAGTGCTGCAATAAAACTATCATGGAACAACTGAATGATTTTAAGCGTTAGACAAAATAGACCGGGGCTCAACCCGTTTTGTGTGGTTGAAGTGGATCAGTGATGTTTCTGTCACCAATTTGGAGTGCTTACTGAAGGCAAAGCTGGAGCAAAATGCACCAGTCATTCATTTTCCCACCCCGTCGCTGCTCCTTACGTTCGTATTCCAGCCAGACGCCTAGTTTATTCTTAGGCGCGGCCAAGATAAGGCAAAAGATTGGGCGCATAACCAGCCATCAGCCGTAGATCCGTTGTGTAACCAACTGTCGTATTAGCGGAACAAAATCTGCAGCCAACCGTGCTCAGCCAACACACAAGCGAGGCTGGGACTATTGTGAGGAAGTCCTATTGAATGGCGTCATTAAATACCTCAGGAGAAAAGCATAGGCTATGTATAGGCCTTAAAAACATCAGAGGAAGGAAGGCTTTTTCCTGAATACAACAGGAAGTTTTGTACACTTTCATTCCAAACCCTTTGCCTTGATGGCAATGTCCTTCTTAGCGGACACGGAGGGACCTAGGTGCTCGTATATACCAAAACTAGGCCTTCAAATTGTCTGAAGGATACTTCTCACATTTATCCTTCTATTTTTAGAGCTACCCTGGGTCTTTTTACCGCCGCATCCACTTCGTGGGCTGAACCTTACTGTTGCCTACAACCCCTAATCCCTACGAGGCTGCCAAAATTTTGAAACGTTTACAACCTCCTCTGTACACTCCGCATTCAATCAGTAAACCATGGATGCTTTAAAAGTTCCGCTGCCGAAGGCCTTTTCGAAGGATTATAATCCAGAATCCGTTTTATGAGTGAGCAAACAACCGTCGACTCCTCGTCGTCAATGCCTTCCGGCTTGGTATCTGCGAAGAGATTTTCAAGCGAATCATAGATGAAGGGCTCTCCTTCATCTTCATCAGGCTGCAAGGGATTGCAGTCCGCATCATACCATTTTCTAGCACGCGGCCATGCGTCCATAATAAAATCAGGCAAGGGCCCGATAACATCATTTAGCTGAGACAGGTGTTCATCATCTGTATCTTCACACTCTTGGGATTATTTCCAAGTCTCATGACTGCAAACAAAGTCCTTCCCATGAGAAATTCGAACATGAGGCATCCAAAACTCCATATGTCGATGCTGCTGTCAATTGGTTGATGGAGGATCAGCTCTGGGGCGCGAAGGGCAAGGGGTGTTAAGGTATCTTTTGGTGGATTGGCCGACCAAAAGGCTGTAGTGCCATGTTAGAAGAAGAATTACCATTTTATTCATGGTTTACTGCTCACCTGATCCAAGGTCTGATAGTTTAACGCAGAGATCAGGACCGCGACCCACATACTCGTGGAGCGACTGCCGAAGATATAAGTTGGTCGGTGTCCATTTATCTTTCTTTCCATCAATACGTCGTAGATGCACTTCAGTGTCGGTTTCGTTCTGCTTCAACTCATTCTCCTTGGCCGAGTTGATGTCATTGATAGCAAACAGAAGATTTCCTGGCTGGACGTCACCGTGAGCCACTCCGTTCGTGTGGAGGAAGGCGAGCCCGCGTAGGCAATGAAGAAGGATATTTTTAGCCATCCATTTAGGGTACCTTTGTCGCTTTCCAAATAGTGCTGGCTGGTTTTCCGGCAGCTGCCTCACCAGTGAAGCTGCACTAGTTCCCATAGGCTCAAACACAAGACATCGATGTTTTCCGTTGGGACCTTCATGGATAAAAGTGTCCAACAGTACGGTGAGATGCCGCGAATTGGGGTCTTTGGCGGCCCTTTTGGAGAGATGCTCGAGAATGTCAAGCTCTGTGTTCGTCGTAGAGGCGCTGGCAATCATTATTTTGAGGGAAACGTATTTTAGGTTTCTACCACAAGCATTAGACTTACTGGCGCAACAAGACAAGACCGCAAGAGCGAAGATAGGACACAAACAAACGTACCGTGTATCGACAGCAAGCCAGACTGTGGAGTAAGAGCCGTAACCAAGCTTTCGGAGCACTCTGTACGCTCCATCGTGGAACGTGTTGCCGAGGTTGACCGGATGATAGACACCTGGTCGATAATCTTCGGCCCATTCACAGGGCGCGGAAGTCTCCTCGAATCTCCAGGATGCTTTGCCCTTGGGGCGTTCAGCCGGTGGTGTCGCGGGCAAGGAAGCCATGGCACAACTGCTTAATGGAAAAAGCACGCGTCAATTTAGCTCTGTTATCGTGCAAATAGGCAGGCGCTGAAATGATAGTGGACGATGAATTGATGATGGATCATGGTGGCCGACGCGTCTCACGTCATTCCTCACTCCTTGTGTTACCTCAGACGCGTTATGATGACACATGCAAGCAGCAGCACATCCACACATTAGCTGCGGAAAACCACAAAATTAGCTATAACTAAATATTAAAAACCCATTCACTTTTATTCTGATATAGTTCTCGCCCTACTTTACTAAAAAGTAAAATTTGTCTATTGCTATCCGCAGGGATATAAATCAAAATAAGTTTTTTATCCTTAGCTAATTAAAGTAGAATTTAACTATCTAGAAAGCACATAGCAGTACTATCGCTTACTTGGAAGATAGCAAAAGTACGCACTAGAATTTCCAGGCCGCAACAAGCATCTAGCAACGCACTATTACGTCGCAAAACCTCCAGCACAAATCTCACACCACAGAAACAGTGCAGTACAAACGCGCAACAAAGCACGCCTTAGCCCCCACCACCTTACCCAACACCCCTACCACACATCCGACAACCCTAACCCAGGCACGTTGCGATCGCCGAACCCCACACCACAGGCCCCCACACCCCGCGGCGATCACTGATCAGCGGCGATCATCTCGACCCCCAACGCCAGAAACCCTAATACAAGCGCGTGCGCACGCGGCACACAAGACGCAAGCCGCAAGCCACGCGGCCCAGATCGAGATCTAAATCGAGACGAGGCGTATTGCGGCAGGGTAGTGGCTGCCTAGCGCAGCTGCGCTGGGGCCGAATCTTCTCTGCGCTTTCAGATGCACTATCGCTACCACCGCGGCTGCTACCATGTACTAAATAGAGATTATTTCTCTCTCACTCTTTCACGTTCTCTCTCGCTCTGTCCGCTCCCGGATACTCCCGGCCTCTGGGTCAACACGTTGCCCAACTCGAACCCGGAAGCCAGCCGAAAGAGCTTTTCGCACCGAATCGCTGGCTATTACGTACAGTAGCCGGGAACCCGTATGCGCTTGCTCACGTACCGGATCGGGCCCGGGCCGGACCGCGTCGGGTCGGGTTGTGTCGGGTCTTCTCATAGGTACCTAAGTGGAGAATGTGGCTGAGGCACGGAATCTCAAGCGCGGGGTTTGCGGACACTGCGGTGAGTTGCCGAGGTGGGGAGTTCTGAGAGGGAATCAAAGGTATGTTTGCGCGGTTATGCTGTACTAGTTAAGTGTATGTATATGCGTGTTGTCGGGGGTAATCAGCAACCCAAATCCAACACCAAAACCCAAGCATCCAGCACAGTGCGCGGCAGACCACAACCCCAAGCACGTTAAAACCCCCCACCACACTACAGCACAAGGCAAAGCAGAGGGGCAGTAGATAGCTAAGCAGCCAAACAAACCCTTCAAAACTCTTCCCCGCCATGCCCAGCCCGCCGCCCTACCGGCCGTATCTATGCACACTAGTCTAGACGGCTAGCCTAACCGCGTGCAGTGTAGAACACGCGCTATATGCGTCTTTGCTTCTCCTTTTTAGCATACCTTCGTACAGCTGCTCTACTCTCTTATACTTCTGCTTTCTCTCGGCTACGGATTTTCTGGTCTACTATCTGGCCTATAGGAATTATCTCAGGGACTTTACCGTCGGGCTGGAAAACGCTTCCACGTTCCTATGCAGTGACAGCAGCAGCGGCAGCGGCAGCTGTATGTAGCTACTATGAGCAGATACTGACACCAAACAAAAACCAGGAGAGCAGGAGCAACAAGACGAGAAGGAAAACGATACCGCCGTAGCGGCCGCTAGGTGAACTAGGCAGCATAAGCTACGCTAACACTACACGCCCTACCCAACATGCCCTTACACAGCAGTGTCCAAGAAAGTCATCACTGTCCAGCTTTCTTCTGTTATCTTCCTACGCAACACACATGCATGCATACGCCCGCAACAGAGAGCAGTAAGAACTAAGAAGTAAGACAGCCCCCACCACTCCCGCGTTTCCCTACAGTGCAAGCACACACAAACGCCAAATTATTGTTTCCATAAGCTAAAAAGTGAAAAAAAAAAAAAAATCCAAACACTCCCCATCACCTCCCCTACAAGATACATTC